CATCGGCAGAAAGCTAGTGGTAAGAAATAAAACCCAGCAGGAACTCACGGTTGCCACGACGAAAATCCACCGATCGATCCGCAGCCTGTTCGGTTGGCTGGATCGTATCGTTGCTGGTTTATGAAGAAGTACTGTTGGTTGATTTATGTGAGAGAAAAATACTGTTCCAATTGAAAACTTACGATCGTTTACGATAAGCCACAGCCAAATTAACAGGCTGCCGATCCGTCTCCGCCCGGCCGTGCCGCGCGTCCTGGTTGACAAAAGGCGGCACTGCTGTTATATTAATCGCGAGATGATGGTGATGGAGCTAGCTAGTTGGCAAGTAATATTATTGATATATTATGGGCTTAGCCTATATAATATTTAATAAATCAAATAAAACTCTAAGGTACGTAATATTAAGTGTTGTATGGTTTAATACCATACGAGATTTTGACTGAACGTTGATTCAGCTTATATGATTGTAAATTATCCATCTTAATTGAAAAGCTGAGAAAAGGACAAAGAAGTGCCACACGTGCGCGCCGCCGCCGACACCGCCGGCCGGGCTGGGCCCGTGGCCATGACGAGGCAGGCGGCGAGCGGGCGGGCATGGCCAGTCTTTTTGCCACTTAATCCACGTAATTACAGGAGTTTTCTCTCTTTGATGGTGGAGGCGAACTGATTGCGCCAGTTAGCGTCCCTTCCACTTTCTGTCTCCGTCGTCTCCTGGGATTCTACGCTGTTTTTCTCCTTTCCCGTCGCAGCCATATATCCGCAGTCCTCCGTCAGTCCAGATCTCCGACTTATCTTCCGTAACCGCTCCCGAGAGAAACCACATCTCAGCAGCCTTCTGGCTTCCCCGTCCTGTACCTCTGCGCGTACGGAGTAGCGGGAGAGCAAGTGCCTCCGGAACCCTCGTCCGCCTAAGAACCTTGCACGGGTGTTCAAGAAAAAGCTTAAGCCTGGTGGTACTATCGAGAGGTACAAGGCAAGGCTTGTGGCTAAGGGTTATACTCAAAAGAAATGTGATGATTTCTTTTATACTTATTCACCGGTTGTCCGATTGACCACAATTCGAGTTTTACTTTCCCTGGCAGTCTCTTATGGTCTCATCGTTCATCAAATGGACGTTAAGACAGCTTTACTAAACAGAGAGTTAGAGGAGGAGATCTATATGGATCAGCCAGATGGGTTTGTAGCAAATGGTCAAGAAGGCAAGGCGTGTAAGTTATTAAAGTCATTGTATGGCCTAAAACAAACTCCTAAACAGTGGCATGAGAAGTTCGATAGAACTTTAACAGCTGCTGGCTTTGTTGTGAATGAAGCTAACAAATATGTGTACTATCGGTATGGTGCGGGTGAAGGAGTCATTCTGTGCTTATATGTTGATGACATACTGATCTTTGGATCCAGCCTCAAAGTGATCTAGGAGGTGAAGGAATTTTTATCTAAAAATTTTGAGATGAAAGATTTAGGAGAGACTGATGTTATTCTTAATATCAAGCTTCTGAGAGAAGGTGATGGTGGGGTAACTCTGTTATAATCCCTCTATGTGGAAAATGTGCTGAGTCGTTTTGGGTTTAGTGACTGTGCACCCGCTTCTACACCTTATGACCCTAGTGTGCTATTGAGGAAAAATTAGAGAATAGCAAGGGATCAGTTGAGATACTCATAGATCATTGGTTCGCTCATGTATCTTGCTAGTGCAATGAGGCCTGACATCTCATTTGTTGTGTGCAAGCTGAGCCGATTTGTGTCAAACCCGGGAGATGATCACTGGCATGCTCTTGAGAGAGTGATGCGCTATTTAAAGGGCACTATGAGCTACGGTATTCGTTATACCGGACATCCAAAGGTGTTGGAAGGCTATTGTGATGCCAACTGGATCTCTGATGCTGATGAACTTTATGCCACAAGTGAATATGTGTTTTCGCTTGGAGGCGCTATTTCCTGAAAGTCTTATAAGCATACTATCTTAACGAAGTTTATAATGGAAGCAGAACTCATAGCATTAGACACCGCTGGCTCTGAGGCCGAGTGGCTTTGTGATCTTCTTATAGATTTACCGGTTGTTGAAAAACCCATACCGGCTATTTCTATGAACTATGATAACCAAACTGTGATTACGAATGTGAACAGTTCTAAGGATTATATGAAGTCCACAAGGCATGTTAAGAGACGACTAAAATATGTCAGAAAATTAAGAAACTCTAGAGTAATAGCGTTGGACTATGTTCACACGTCTACCAATCTGGCAGATCAATTCACTAAGGGTCTGCCACGTAATGTGATAGAAAGTACATTGAGAGAGATTGGTTTGAGACCCACTTGAAATTTACTATAGTGGTAACATGTTCTATGTGATCGGAGATCCTTTGAAGTAGGATGGTGAAACAAGCTAGTAGTAAATTATAAGGAAAGATTCTTAGTAAGACTTATTTATGATGCATATTTTTTTTTCGTAAGGCAAGTTAGTTTTTACCTTAATGTGTTCCAAGTAGCTTGCTAAAGCAAAGATGTTGTCCTACAGAACATGTTTTGAGGAACACACCTATATGAGTCAGACTGCTGGTCACAGTCTATAAGATTTGTGTGATCTCTAAATACTCATGAAAGGTACTAAAGTATAACTTATATGCTTTAAATAGAGGGGATGTCTTTTGCAGCCAAGTATCAGCTAAGGATTTTAGTAACATTGACCTCACACAAAACTGTCAATTCAAGGTTTAGTCCATTATTCAATTGTGACTGAGTAAAACTATTGCTCTAGATGGATGTTCAACTTAACAGTCTTCATCGAAACACTGGTATATAAAAGAAATATGGTTCTGAGACTACTTTGTTACAAACCCTAGAGTTTGGTGGGATTGTTGGATATATTATGGGCTTGACCTATATAATATTTAATAAATCAAATAAAACTCTATGGTACGTAACATTAAGCGTTGTATGATTTGATACCATACGGGATTTTAACTGAACGTTGACTCAGCTTATATGGTTGGAAATTATCCATCTTAATTGAGAAGCTGAGAAAATGATAAAAGGGGTGCCACACGCCGCCGGGCTGGGCAGGCCGTGGGCATGGGCGCGTCACGGGCCGGGCCGGGCCGAGGTCGAGGGCGTGCCGTGTTGTGGCGAGGCGAGCGAGCGGGCAGGCGTGGCCAGTCTTTTGCCACTTAATCCACATAATTACGGGAGTTTTCTCTCTTTGATGGTGGAGGCGAACTGATTGTGCCAGTTATCATCCCTTCCGCTTTATGTCTCCGTCTCCTAGGATTCTCCGTTGTCTTTCTCCCTTCCCGTCGCAGCCATATATCCGCAGTCCTCCGTCAGTCTAGATCTCCGACTTCTCTTCCGCAACCGCTCCCAAGAGAAACCACATCTCAGCAACCCTCTGGCTTCCCCGTCCCGTACCTCTACGCGCACGGAGTAGCGGGAGACCAGGTGCCTTCGGAATCCTCGTCCACCTGAGAACCTTGCACGGGGTGAGCGGCGATTAGGTTTTTGAGGAGCGATCCGCGACTGCTCGTCCACGTACGTCTTCTTCCTAGTGGTGATCGCTTTCGGAACCCGTCTTTTTCCCGGTGATTGCTTGCGGAACAGCAAGACGTCTTCTTCCTGGTGGTCCGTTTGTGGGACTGCACTGCGAACATCGTCCTGCATCGACTGTGGTCCACGACTTCGAGCAACGCACTATGTCGACTAGTGCGAATGGAGCCTCCGATGTCCTCGGAATGAGACCCTCCTTTGGGTACAATCTAATCTCTGTGATTACTGTATTTTGTGCGTTTACTGTATCTATCTGTATGTCATGTATGTATGCTGTAGCGTTCATTAAAGATATACACATGCACGTATATGCCGTCACAAATCTGCTAATATTATATTTCTGGATTAAATTGACCCTGAAAATACCTAAATTCCTAACAAATATAAGCTCGCTCGCTGCTGCTACTTACTGTCGCTGCGTTGCTTTACCGATTGCCCCCAACCCCTCCCTTCTCGTTAATTTTCCATTATCCATAAACTACCAGCACTACAGGCAGCTACGCACGCAAAGCTCCTCTCGGCTGGCGAGCGCGAGTGACAGTGACAAAACTGCCTGCTTTCTCCACGGTCCACACCAAAATTTATCGACTCCCTCAAGTCCCAACCAACCCAAGTAGGGGTACAGCAACCGCAGCGCCCCCTCGGTCTTCCAGTCCAGCGCCTATAAATCCCGGGGCCGGACTCCGAGCTCACAGACTAGGACACAGCTGCTGGTCACTGGGCAACCCAGCGCAGCTAACACTCCTATACAAATATCCACTAGTCTTTAGTACAGACTACAGAGGCAGAGCGAGCACACAGATTAAAGCTGCCTGTAGATAGCAACCATCAACAGCGACTGATCGAAGTAGTGAGCAACTGAGCATCAGTCGATCTAGCTACGTACTACATAGAAACAGCTGCAGCAGCTCTCTTCTTCTTGCTGTCCCTGCGGTGCTCGGTTTTAGGAGTGCAATTTGCTCGAGTAGCTAGCTACCTGAACCATGGGCTGCGTGGAGGAAGAGAGGCTGCTGTTCCCGTCCTTCGTCTTCCCCGAGAGCTTCGCGGAGGCCGCCACCCCCGGCTCCGGTGAGTTCTTCACATATCATCTCTGGTACCATATGTGTATCAAGTAATACATGGATGATATGATATATGTACCTGAACAAGCAAGAGATTTAAAGCTCATCACGGCACAGCAATAATGTACACATGTGCTACCAAGTGGTGAGCAACAGAAGAAGGCTCGGCAGCGGCGGAGGCGGAAGCCGCGGCCGGCGATGGATGGCGGCGAGGCCAGGGACGAGCAGGCCAAGAAGCGATGGCTGAGCGACGAGCATGCGCGGTTCCTAGAGCTCAGCTTCAGGAAGGAGCACAAGCTGGAGATGCCCCGCAAGGTGTAGCTGGCCACCGAGCTGGGCCTCGACGCCAAGCAGGTGGCCGTCTGGTTCTAGAACCGCTGAGCCCGCCACAAGAGCAAGCTCATGGAGGAGGAGTTCTCCAAGCTCCGCGCCGCGCACGACGCCGTCGTCCTGCAGAACTGCCACCTCGAGACCGAGGTAACAACTATTCCGGCCAGCGACACCAAATTAATTTAAATCTACACACATGGCCACATAGCGGCGAGCCTCGCTCGATCATGGTCACGGTGAATTGTTTTCGTTCCCCGTTGCTGCTGTGCTGCTGCTTACTAACTTCATGCACGCGTGTTTCGCGCCGTCGTCGTCTTGCAGCTACTGAAGATGAAGGACAGGCTGGCGGAGGCGGAGGAGGAGAAGAGGAAGCTCATCGCGGCTGCCGCGGCAGCCGGCGGCGTCGGAGCGGGCGCAGCAGGAAGCAGCAGCCCGAGCTCGTCGTCGTTCTCGACGGTGACGCACCACCCGGCGGCGCTGGTGGGGCAGTTCGGGGTGGAGCCGGAGGAGGCCGCTGCCGACCTCACCTACATGAGCGAGTACGCCTACAACAGCTACATGAACATGATGGACCTCGCGCCCGGCTACTTCGGCGGAGTAGTCTACGATCACTTCAACTGATCGATCGATGAGCATGAACGAGGAAGGATTGACCGGCTCTCAGATCAGCTAGGTATTTTCGTGTTAATGGATGGATCGATTTGCAGGGCGCCCGTAGCAGTAGTAGCAAGCAATCAATTCGCTTGTATAATCAGTACGACGTCTTTCAGTCAATGTCCTGACGGTAATTAAGTCTATTCAGTAACTTGTTAAACCATGAAGATTAGTAGCTGGTAATCTCTGTAAATTTGTGTGGATTATCATGCAAGTTCTTATCATGAACTAATGGTCTCTGTGATGTAATATTGGGGGGAATGGGGGTAATCGGAATCAGAAGATGCTTGTAAATGTTTTGGTGTCTTCTGTTATTTTATTTGTTTTTGTCTGATGAATTCTGAAATTTGGACTTGGCCCAATTGTCTGGGCTTCATTTGAGTTCTGGGCTGTTTCACAAATTAAGTCCCTAGAAAAAAACACTTGATCATACTTGGACGAACACGATCCATTCTCTTCTCTATTGCTTCCTCCAATTGCTCTTCAAATTTAGTTAACTTTAGTTTTATCCAAAGTAACTTCTTTATCTCTGATAAAGTTTATAGAAAAAAACATCAACATCTACAATATTTTTTATGAACTTAATTAAGTCAAATATTTTTAACTCTGTTCACTTTAGTTCTATCTGAACTTATGGATTACAAAAAAGTTGGTCAAAAGCTAAAAAGTTCGAGCTGTTACTAATGTTCTTCTTACAAATGCATGGTGCATTCTACTAGTTATGAAGACAATAACAGCCTAGACTACACCAATGCTACCATTTTTTTTAAGGGACCAATGCTACCATTTTAACAGTAGAGCGCAGATGCTTTTAGACTCGAACCTTTAAACAGCTACATGAGATTAGTCCGGCACATTTGAGACTAAGGTCCTGTTTAGTTCCACTTCGTTTTGCCAAAATTTTCAAGATTCCCTGTCATATCGAATCTTTAGACGCATGCATGAAGCATTAAATATAAATAAAAAATAAAACTAATTACACAGTTTAGATGAAATCCACGAGATGAATCTTTTAAGCCTAATTAGACTATGATTGGACACTAATTGTCAAATAACAACGAAAATGCTACAGTGCTTATTTTGCAAAAAATTTTGCATCTAAACTGGGCCTAAGAATCAAAGGTTCTCGTCGCCGATCAGTCACTGCCTCACTGGGGAGACACAGGATGCCAAATCTTGCCATTGGTGGTTAGGGGTACAAGTACAACCATCTCTGCTAACCACTCAAGCGGTGTTTGTTTCTCACTCAAACACTGTTACTTGTTATGTTGAGCATACACAAAAGTCCAACGCTTACAACTCTGTGATCGAGGCATCCTAACTGACTGCACTTAAACAAGTGAAGCGTCGTCTGCAAAATAATAAAAAAAAATAGGAAGAGTGTTATCCACAACTAATGATTGCATCAAGGCCATGCATCAGTACTCGTCGCCTTTTCTCTTCTTGGGAGATAAGCCTGGTAAAGACGAGATGACCTAACGAAAAGCGCGGCGGCTCCCGTCACTCGGCACGACGACAAAGCGAACAAACCCAACGCAGCCCGATCGTCGATGGATCAATCATCCGCTGCGTGACGGCGACCTCCGTTCCGTCGGGAACCGGAGCGGAGCGGAGCGCGCGGGCACGGAGGAGGACGTCTCTGTCTCTCTCGTACTACGCCGTCGCCCCGGTGCAGTGTCTCTGTGTCTCAAGGGCGACAGGTGTGGGGGATGGCTCATGGCACGGCGGAGAACTGAGCACCAAAGGGCACCACCACTACTACCTTAGCTACTCCTGGAGGCATTCTTATCCGGTGTGCTTCCCTCATGGAATTGTACTATAGGATTGGAACAGGCAGGCATCAGAATTTTCGGCACCCATTTCGGTGCTACCGTCCAATCAACTCTCTGGTCCCGCAGTCACAAAATTGCGCACTTGTATGGTTGATGAGGTACAGACCCTGAAATACTGGAGAGAGAGAGAGAGAAATCAACCTGAAGGAATTTCTTTTACAGTCCACAAATGTTACTCTGCTCAGAAAGCATCGTCGTTACGAAAAAGCTGGGCGATGATTCCAGGAACGACAAGGCGCTTTTTCAACAGCTAAAAGAATAATGGATTAATATACAAATCACTGAGTAGAGTACATAGGCGGGTAGAATCGAGTGAAAATTCACCCCTCCCAACAGAGCTTGCGAGGCAAATCAGCACACGACGCTTGGGTTTTACATGATACAGCCATCAGGCATCTGACTTTTAGCGACCAAAAACAAGTACCTGACAGAAAGCTACAGCACGGCACTTGCCCTGCAATCCAGATGTTAACACTGCAAGAATTAGCACAACGACTTGGTACCGGAAATTACACCACAGGGGCGCCAGGCTACCTATTTTTCAGAGATGCCGTGCTGGGTTTCCTCGAGGAACAATGGGGGAGACCCTCTTTCACAGGAGATGGTGGGAAAGGAGAAGATGACGGCAGCTGGCGGTGACTCGAGATCGAAGAGAAACAACTAAATGGGTTCCTCAGCCGCCTTTTCTCTGAGTCTTCAGATTGACTATTTGGATCATGGCCAACCGGAGAGATCTTTAGCGACTCTGGGAGAAGGCAGTTGCAAATGGCACCTACAAGGAAAAGATGCTCTTGATCATCATAATATGAACCGGAAAGTTCACATAAAAACGCTACAGCAAGAACTCCATGTACATACAAAACAGTCCTACAAGTGAAATTGAAACACAAAGCCTGGCATCAAACTATACAGTCAGAGCTGCCACGGTTCCCTTAGGCCTTGTTTGGATGCATGTGTATCCACTTCAATCCACATGTGTTGGAGTGGATTGGAATGGAACTTAGTTTAATTCCACTTCAATCCACTTCAACACATTTTGATTAAGTTGAATACATGTGCATCCAAACAAGGCCTTAGTTGGACATGCTGTTGAATTCAACAACCTGCTTAAAACATATGGCAAAATTTTGTAGTGCTCTTTGTGGATGAAACTATTCACTAGAGACATCTCGCCTCTTTGCATGATGATTCAGCTAATGCCACATCACATATCAAGTGCACGGTTACTGAGTTACACTGTGATATGGTGTGATGGAAAACTACTTAAAACTTATGGAAAATGAAGGCCCATTCATAAACCAGGGTAAACCACATTTCTGTTCAGTTCCTCCCAAAATCCCAAAAAAGTAAAATGGAATGGAGCTTTAAATGTAGAGCGAAAAAAAAATAATACGAGGCGAACGTTTTGAGCCTAATTAGTCCATGTTTGAAAATGGTGGAAATGACCGTAAAGTGGAAACAATAATATACAGCGAAAAATGGTGGAAATGACCGTTAAAGCCGCGTAATGCACTCTGACTATGCCCAAGTAGCACTTAAATCACTATCACCTTTGTTATGTGGAATCAATGAGCTAGTACAAGCATTAGCACATGCATAAAGTTATGGTACCTATTCTGGCAAGCCGATTAACCCATTTGGGAATTTTGTTACCGGTCAACTTGTAGCACATATCCTTGCAAAAGTGGTTACAGTTCTTCGTGATAAGATGGTAAGTATCTCCGTTGTAGTTTACTGACTGCAGCTCCATGAACTGCCTAACTTGGATTGGATCCAAGCATGTTGTACCAAGAAATATTGATTTTCTGAACCTGAAACCAGGGCATTGGCGAGGTTCTACCTCAAAGACCCCACTGGTGGGGAAGTCATGAGCTCCGAATGCATATTCAACACCATGAACTGTAAATGGAAAAGAGAGCCAATCAAAATATGTCATCTGAGAATTCAGTTGTGAAAACTTATTGTAGATAAACCATCTATACTATTTGCATAGCAACAACAGAACTTATGTGACAACTTTTTATTGACAATTAAGGGTTTGAATGCCAATGTCACCATCATTTAATAACTGAGGCAGTCAGCAAGATAATTACACAAATCACCCTTTTAAAATATTCCAAAGCTAGCTGAAAAATTGCACCATTCAAATTCCCCTGATTCCATACTCTCCAAAAATCATGATTTCACATATATAGCTCAGTCTAATTCCATTCTGAAAGCCTACTACATTCAAGCATTCACACTTTATTAATGGAGAACAAAGTGAAAAATGAACCTGAAGAAAGATCTAGGCTAGTCCAAAAAAGACTACTATTGTTAAAAATGACTGGCAAGTTTAGACAGGAACTAACAACCCAGACGGATCATTCAGATGCAACTTTATTAACGGATGGTTGTTAGTGGCATTGAGTATTTAACAAGCTTGTAAATTACTTCCTTTCACCATCCCTCGGTGACCGATGCTAGTATGCCCGAGAATACCCCTCTTTTTCCAAGTTCTCCACATGGACTTCACCAAACTAGTGCACCATTCCTACTCCCATACCATTCCTTAATTCCCATCTTCCCTAGATCTAGCTAGTATTAGGGACTAGGGAGGACTAGAGATTTCATGGGCACCTAAAGAAAATTTCTTAAATCAATACCAAACCCTATAAAACTCGATTCTGGATCTATAAAGATGTCTAGCATGGTCACTAGAGATTTCATGGGCAGGGCACCTAAAAAAATATAAAACCCTATAAACTGGATTCTGGATCCGTAAAGATCCCTATTTCCAACATGGGTACAGATTTCATCTTTTTAAACAAGCTTTCTCAGATGAAAAAAGTGTTTGGTACACTGAAGCCATAAACATAAAAATGGAGCTAACAACATCAAGAAAAACAATCATCTTCCAAGCCCAGTAGATAGACAAATAATTTTCTTTCCAATTGTAATATTTTATTTCCTATTACAAAGGCAACATAGCACAGAACCCACCATCTCGTCCATTTTTCTATATGGTATAATGAGACCTAGTAATATGAGGAGAGGTAGAGGAAGACCGAAATTGACATGGGGGGAGGCAATAAAAAGAGATTTGAAAGCTTGGGATATACCTAGAGATCTATGTTTGAATAGTAGTACTTGGAAAGCAGCTATTGAAGTGAATGAACCGTGACTTGGGGCTCTTGGTGGGTTTCAACTCTAGCATACCCCAACTTGCTTGGGACTGAAAGGCTATGTTGTTGTTGTTGTTGTTGTTGTACAATGAGACCTAGTGAATCTAACGATTTCAGCTAGACACATCAATGACAGCACAGAAAGAATCTAATATGTAGCTCACCTAGGCAAGGTGAAACAATGCATACCCAAGGGACCTATTGGAGCACAGGAATTTCACAAGTACCGTACAAGAATTTCAAAAGAATCAGTTCCATTTCACAGAGAAAAAGAAGGATTTAGGAAAATTCCCATGTTCCAAACAGGCCCTAATGGCCAGAACAGAATTTAGGGCATTGAACAAACCTATATGAAGATAGGATTGTTAATGTAGCAAAAACAACTTCATAGGGTGAGATAGCAGATAGATGACAGCACTAGATAGCATTATTTGCTAAAACGAATAATGAGATGTTAGTTTAGTTTTCAAGGATACAGGAGAAATTATCTGAACATTGAAATAGCAGAAAATGAACCAGCATTTGATTATGTATTAACTGGGAAAATATATACGTGCATATGGCAGAGAAAAGAACCTTCAATTCCTGAGTGAAATATGCCCAGGCCTGCCCAATATATATAGCCATTCATTGGTGTCAAATCATACACATTAAGATAAACTGGGGTATCATCTGGTGATTGACCAGCCGACTGAACCTTGGGGAACAAAAAGAAACGCATGGCAGATTTCCTGCTCAATCTGCTCAGTTGTAGAGGCATAAGGGACTTCCATTCAGGCCGTTTTGTCCTTAACTTCATAGCCCACCCTTCACATAATCAAATGAGATATCAGCATACAAAGGATCTACTTCAAGAACCACAAGAAATTGATAAAATCAGATAAGATAGCTGTCATAGTTGTTCTCTGAAGTCTTTTTCCTTGGAAGTAGTTTAAAGATTGTATTACACAGAATAGCAATGAATTTGGTTGAAATTTGAATAGGCCAACAACAAGAGATTGCAAAATAGAAGCATTCTAAAAAAAATATCCTCATATATATTTTATTGAAATCTTAGACATATGTGTCTTGTATATAAGAAAACCAAAACAAACCAGTACATTGTGTTCTGTCCAAGTATTGGCTATGCATTAGCAAAATTTGAAAGCTCCAACGTACAAGAAAATCCAGGGGCCTAGGAGTTCTCCAATAATCTTCCCAAAAAAGACAATGCAGTTCAGAGTGAACAATGGACAGTAAAACTAACACAGGCAGGGCCAGTGGGCCACAATACAGTTGTGGTTAAGAAATCTAGCACAGCAATTCAGTCTGACACAATGCATTGCTGAACGAGTACATAGAAGAGCTAAGAAGCACAACTGTCGCTATAGTTTGAACTTTGAACCCTCGTACTGGTACTGGTAACTACAACTAAAAGACAGTGGACAGATCAGATCTTTTAAAGAATGCTTTTATTACATTTTTGTTGTGGGCATTGGGCAATGCAGGATGTTTATTCGGTCTAGCAAACACCCAGGAGAAAAGAGAGAGGGAGCATTCCGTTTCAAGAATGAAACAAGCTAGGTGGGTACCAAATCGCAATTGAAATCATGTACCACTCGACTCCATTACTAGGTATGAAAGCTTGCAGAGAAGCGTAAGACATGTACACATCACGGCACCACCCGAACTTCACCAACTGTTTCAGTACAAGCAGGTAAGCCGCACTATTGCCTAGGAAGCAACGTCTGGTACCGCTAACAGACTGAACCCCCAGAAATAATTCCACGGCCGTACTACGCGTTCCAGATGAGGGAGAAAGAGCACAGACGATGTTGACACGAGAGACAAAGCCATAATTCCACCGGCGTCCGGCGGACCCAATCCACAGGACCAAGAACCGAGCAGCAGCCCGAGAATCGAACAGGCCAAGAAACGCAAGAAAGCAGGCGAGCGCAGATCCAAGCCAGGATCTTCGCTGCGTTGCTCTTGCCAAGAAAGAAAGCGAACAGCGTTTACCGCGGGAACAGAGGAGGCTGGAGGACGGAGGACGGAGGACGGAAGGCGAGCGGTGCTGCCGAAGGCGGCAGCGGCAGCACAGTGCGGGCGGTGCTGCTGGACAGGAGGATGGGGGAGCTGGAGAGGGGGAAAGAATCCGAGGAGGAGGAGGGGGGATTCCTGGAGGGAGCCTGGAGGCGAGGTGCAGGCAGGCAGGCAGGCAGCAGTAGTAACTGATGGTGCGGTGGTGGTGGCGTTGGTTGCCTTCGGCGAGCGGGGGGAGAGGTTTCGTGATGGCTGGGGAAAAGCGTGAAATTTTTGCATTTTTGTCCCTTTGAAAACATTTTTAAAAAAAGATCTATGTCAAAACGTTTGCTGAAAATAGACCATTTTAGGCGTCTTAGAACATGACGTCAAGGTATGAGGGTCGGCGTCGACTGACACGACATCGAGGTCTTGCCACGTCACGGACGATTTTTGGCCGACGGCGACACACGATGGCGCGTATGGGGTCCGACACGTCGGCGTTGTGTCACCAATGCCACAGGCCCAACCTCGGCGCGGTGGGACTACACGTCGAGCTATTGGCACCATCCGGCGCGCGGCCCAGGCAGCCCAACAACGCTTCGTGGCCCAATAGCTCGGCGTGGGGTCACTTAACGCCGAGCCACAAGACTCGCCGCGGCTCGACTCAACGCCGAGGTCTGGACCCTTGAAGCCGCGGGGTCTTTTGCCCCTGTGCCGTTAACTATCCTGGGACCGTAGTGCTCTTTGTTTGTATCTTTGAAAATGCTATTTGTGCTATTCTGCGATCCTTTGAAAGGGCTACAAGTATTGTTGCGGTCAATGAAAAGTCTATTTGAAAACTCTTTGAAAAGTCTAGATTAGATTTCATTGTTGTATCCGATACGCGCAATGAATTAATATCGAGTGATGTAACGCATTTAGATGAAGTGACAAAACACAGATGTAGCCTTTTAGGATGAAATGATCGATCATGGTTGTAGGCTTTTCGGATGAAGCATCTAGCCTTTAGATTCAATAAATGAATACGCACATAAGTTTTTTTTGTCAAGTAGCATTCATGGTGAACCCGCCTTCATCTCTATATATAGTGCTCCATGTCTTGCTCCACATCCACACAACTTATTTTCTGGTTTAGTTTTAGCAAATGTCGAGTGGAGGTTCCTCGAGTGGAAAGGGTTTCGGCGAAGGGAGAGGAAAGGGGGTGAGGAAGAGACCTCCGATTGTGTGGGAGGGTTCTCTGGTTCCTGATTCTTTTGAAGAACCAATAGAGGAATTTTCTTTAGAGAGGAAGAGTGACTTCACCCGTGAGAGACCTCTTAGATCATCGACAAAGCGCATTGAAGATTGGCAAAATGCCGCATACGGTTTGGATTGCGTTGCGTTGTGCGGATGTACAACGATCGTGGACGGTGGAGGCCGTCGTTTCTTCGAGATGCCCACGAGGATTTGTATTTCCTTTGAACTCTCTCCTTTTTTATATTTGCATTTGGTTTGTAGTAGTATTTATTGGTAGATAGGTTTTCAGGATTCAAACTGTCTAGATAATTGTGGCTTCACTAGATGGGTCGACCCTCCTCCTATCTATCCCCATCAACGATTACATCACATATCTCTGAGGGGACGCATCTTTGACCTAGAGTATGGCCACGAAGAAGTGGTAATGAGGACAAGTCGGGGCACAGCGACAACAATGATGCAGAGGAGGCAGTATGCAATAATCCGTACTATCAGTGTCCGTACCATAAGAAGCACGTGCCCCCTTCTTCACCGCCACCGCCACCGTCAACTGGAGGATACTATGGGGAAGGCGCAACTCAGTTCAATATATGGGAGCATTATTAGGACCAACCTTTGTTAGTCAATCCGAATGTGAAATGCTTGTATGAGTTGTTCTTTTCAATCTCCTAGGGCATGCTAGGTTTAGTTTACAACATGCCATTGTTAGTTTTCATGTGAGTGTGTAATCGTAGTACCTTTGCAACGTCTGTATCACTTGTTTCTTTCAATCCCCTAAGGCATGCTAGGTTTAGTTTGCGACATGCCATTGTTAGTTTTGATGTGAGTGTAATCGTTGTGCATTCGCTATTTCATAAATTGCAGTTTACCATGTACTATGGTTGATTCCCAAACTGAAAAAAGATTTGACTCTCTCTAAAAATAGGGGATTGAAATCGAACCAACCTTCGGTTTTTCCTGCAGGAACAAACATAAATATAGCATGTCTACTGTTATTAGTACAACTCGTGTTAGTAGAAGAGGAATCGTTGAGAATGATTTTTTATTTGAATCATGCAAATAGGATTTCAACCTATACCAGGTTTAGAAGACCTCTGTCTTTAATACTTTATTCTTTCTTTTTTATGATTTATAGGCTCGACGTCAAGTCGAACGACGCCGAGGTAGATGACCATGGCATTGATTCAGCCCACGCCAACCCTAGGGTTTGGCTCGGCCGTTTACGTGAAGTGTTGGGCTGAGGCTCGGCGTCGAGTCGGCCCACGCCAACCCTAGGGTTTGGATCACCACGGCCCACGCCAGGTTTGGGCCGAACCTCGGTGCTGAGTCGGCCCACGCCGAGATCGGACAGCTAGGCGCCGAGTTGAGCCACGCTGACGTTTGGGTCACGGGCGTCGTCGGGTCAGCCCACACGCCTACCTCGGCATTTAATATTTTCACGCTAAGATTAATGGCTCGGTGTCAATTTACAGAACGCCGAGCTTGGGCACCTCGTCGCTTCGAGGCAAAGGATTCCAGTATGCACTAGGGGTCGGCGTCAATTGACTAAACACCGAGGTGCCCACCCTCGGCGTGTGTTCAATTGACGCCGAGCTCTTGGGTTCAACAAAAAAACAATGAACTGAGCATACAGAATTTCACATAACAAATGGCCACACCAACATACACATTCATTCAACATCCATACATACATAAGGTCCAACACATTTAACATCCAACATAGTCCAACACATTCAACATCCATACATAGTCCATACATATGCTTCATCAATCATCCAACATAGTCCAAACATAGTACAAGGTCCATACATAGTGCATTACATAAGATCCAATGCATACATAGTCCATGCACAAAAGAAGCATATAAAGTCTTTGGATCTTTTAGCTCGCTCCTTGTCTAATGCTCCATCATTTTGTCCTTGTCTCTCTTTTTTCCTACAGTAGTCCATTTTCACAACTTTTAGCGGATATTGAGCTAAGTTAGAAACCATTAATGAGACTACCTTTACATAGCTATTTGGTGTTTGCTAAAATATGAGTCAAGTATCATGATTACCATATCAAAAGATGTACCTTAACGTGGACGGCGAGCATAACGCTTTCCCCTCCCAAACGGATAGGTACTTGGAGTGTACCTATCCACTGGTCTGAGCGTCCTCTGTGGACGTCCAGAACCGGAGGGGCCTTGAGTTCCTTGGGGTGCATCTTCAAGCTAGGACATGCCAATCTCATCATACTCATGCCCATAGTACTCTCCCTGTCCTTCATCATCTTCTCCCTGGTGTTCTCCTTCATCATCATAAGGACCATGTCCTCGACCACCCTCTGCACTAGTTGTTGCACCATGTGAAGAAGAAGTCCCGCCAACATGTGCACCATGTGAAGATGAAGTCCCTCCAACATGTGCAGTAGAAGGTCCAGCACCAAGCTGTTGTGGGACTGCCACATCCGGGACACGTCCACATCCAAGGCGTGCAGCTACCTTTCGGAGGCGATGCATGGCACGGTGCATTTTGAAAGCACTATTAGTAAGTGGGGTTGGTCGCAAAACTATATAAAGATGTAACATCAACTGAATGACAGGAGACTACCTGAATGTGCCGTCGTAACATGGAGGCCTCATCAGGATCGCCACAGGAATCATCAATGCCCTTCCTTGCTCGGCCACTGTCCTCATTATCTCCGTGCTCTATGCAACAAAAACAAGAATTTAAGTCTCCATCACAGTAAAGACCTCAGAGATGGAAATAGTTGTATCACTTACAGCTCTGGCTAACACAGGGGCGATCTCAACTTGCCTGCCTTCTCGGGTAGCTTGGTCATATGGGTTGTTGCCCTCATCCTCGCTCGCAATGTCAGCAATGTCTTGCTCCCGTCCAAGCGAGCCTCAATTGAAGCCTTGTTCGTTGACCAAGCCAAACAAGGTAATCATCGAATGCCTTGTCACGATGGACGGCGTGGATGCCCATGTTGTTCTGCTCCATCAACATCCACTCATCAATGTAGCGTTGGTGCTCCAGCTGCCAGTTGGTGATCTTCTTCTTTTTTTGTCTGCTGAACCTGCAAATTTTACACCATAGCGGCAATATGAAGGCCTACTCAATGATTCATTCATGTGAAACGAACAAAATATTGCATGTTACGTACTTGTGGAGCTGCCAACCGGTGGAGAAATCCTCAGGCGGAGAAGGTTGTAGCCTACCAAACTGCTGTGCTACACGATGAGGGAGATGGTACTCCACTGCATAGAAACAAATAAGGGGGGTCCTCATCGTCCAAATGTCCTCGTCTGCCGTGCACAAGGAGCTCAAGTTGAGATCCGTGACTTGCCTCTGCCGATATGGACGCCATTCAACCTGTACACAACGTCGTCATCAACTAGTCGACGCTCAATTTGTGCACATATCCTCGATTAGGCCAAAAGGGTGGGAAACTTACATGCTGTGGCAAAAGGGTGTCCAGCTCGTTGGTGAAGCTGATGTACGCGTGGCGTGACACGTGGTAAGTTCCGTGGGCTCGCTTGTAGAGGTGTGCCACGGTAGGGGCGACAACTGTGTCTCCTTGAGAAAACCAAGGTTGTGGGGGATCAAGCTGATGCGGTCTCCCAACTGGAAGCCTCTCCCACATCCAAATCTGCAAAAAAGAGTGGAAACTTGCATGTTAATCACTTTTGTTAAGAAAAAATATTGAATTGTAGTGGAAGCTTGTACAACTTTGCTTCATTACCTGCAACAGTGTGATGTACCCTGACATTGTAGCGTGCGCGCCTCCAGGACGGCGGCAAGCCTCGCAAAGCTGACGGTACAGGAAGGCAAGTATAGCCGAGCCCCAACTAGTGGATCTCTCCAAGGCAAGACCCTAGACAATATCTCTATTTCCCTAAATTTGAGATGACCAACAGGGCGATCGTTATCAGAGTCTTCGGCTATCTCCTCTACGAAGGATTCATCATCTCCAACTATCTCCATGTTAAAACGGTTCGTAGCCCTAGCATCACCAAAGTCTTCTTCACCACTAAGATCATCTTCGTCGCTAAGCTCATCCTCAATAGAAAAGTCTCCGCTAGCGTCGTCCAAACCTTCTTCTGCATCACCAATTACATAATCATCATCCTCTTCATCACTATCATGATTGCCCTCACCATCGGCAACCGCATTCTCCTCCTCATCTTCACCGCCCTCAAACCAACCTCCATCACGCTAACACTTCATCATCATCCTCTTCAAAGTTATCATTTCCTAAGCCGGACTCCTTACTTACTACTAAATCCAAAGATCGCACTTCTGAGGCCAATACAACTGCCTTGTAATCATTTCATTCAGACTCGCTTGTAATTTTGAGCAACCGCTTGATCCGAGGACCCTTCGATGACCCAACATCTATGACACCTTCAAACTGAACATGCACGTCTCCTTCATTTCAGCCTAACTTAACCTTCACTCGCTCCACTAACTAGATCAAAGATGGTGTTTCAGAAAAAATCAACAACTCCTCACACATGTCCAGAAATTCCAAACTATCATCTCTTGTCCTAACAATACGGCCTCCATGATGCAACCTCACTAATTTATCCATCTACAACCATCACACAACAAGTAGTGTCACATATCAATATATCATGCGAGTTTCAATCCAATAAGTAGAAACTAAAATATATCATTTCATCTTTTTCAACCCCAACAACATAATCATTTCTAATCATAAAAAATTGAAATCTAATGACCAATAAATAACTAAAATACATACTAACCCTAATGACCAACAAATAACTAACCCTAATGACACCTACAATAAACAAAGAACCATAATGATCGAAATAACTAGAAACCAAACTAACCTAACATGTTCAGCACATAAAACAGTTAAACAATAATGCACTCAATCAACCTAAGCCGTACATTTTACAAATGCAAATACACATATACCAAAACACCATACACCTATGATTCCACATGATTAGAGACAATGCAAGCACATCTACGCGGATAGATTGGAAGAGGGGAGGGACCATTACCTCGAGGAAGCTTCGGGAGACGAGATCCGGGCACTTATGGTCGCATTTGGGGGTTAGGGTTTCGTGGGGGCACGGAGGGAGGCCAGCTGTAGAGAGCCGGCGCTTTCAGAATGGAGGGAGGAAGAAGAAGGGGGCCGTGGCACGCCTTCAAGGGTCCAGACCTCGGCGTTGAGTCGGGCCGCGCCGAGTCTTGTGGCTCAGCGTTAAGTGACCCCGCGCCGAGCTATTGGGCCACGAAGCGTTGTTGGGCCGCCTGGGCCGCGCGCCGGATGGTGCCAATAGCTCGGCGTGTAGTCCCACCGCGTCGAGGTTGGGCCTGTGGCGTTGGCTGACACAACGCTGACGTGTCGGACCCCATGCGCCACCGTGTCGCCATCGACCGAGGTCGTTCGTGACGTGGCAAGACCTCGGCGTCGTGTCAGTCGACACCGACCCTCATACCTTGGCGTCATGTTCTAAGACGCCTAAAAATTGTCTATTTTCAGCAAACGTTTTGGCATAGGTCTTTTTGTAAAAAATATTTTTAAAAGAGACCAAAATGCAAAAATGTCACGGGAAAAGCAGCGTGGAACAGGGGGCCACCGGTGGTGGGGTTGTTTTGTAATTTATCGCCTTGTCTTTTTTATTTTACCCTCTTTCTCTTCCTTTTTTTGAAAGCTCTGCGGCATTTTTATTTTGAATGGATCGATCAGTGAGTGGTGGCTAGCGAGAGAAAGGACACATGGTCAGCCTCTCCATGGGCATGGAGAGCTGTGCTCGCGCGGGTTTTAGGGGGGCAAAGTGCCAGAATCTCTTGACTCTTCCCTTTTGATTTGTTTACTATAAGCTTGTTTGAATGCAGATGTAACAAAGATCCTTTTTTCCAGAAAAGAAGAAATGTGAATGTGATCTTCTCATCCAGGCAAAAGCAATCCAATTTGTACGTTGATGGTGTTAGTACAACAACAAGATTTTGTACCGCAAAACGTCAGAAACTTAAACCATATTTTTGCGAAGTTAAGAAGTAAAAAAGAAGCGTATGTTAAATATTTTACAGTACTGTACATTGTACTGTGCGTACTACAAACAAACCAAAAAGGTTTTCAGGATCTCGAAGCCGATTGGGCACCATGGCGCGCTGATTGTCTCTTTATCTTTATTTAAAGCGACGCGAAATGCCATTGCCATTTGGACCTTCGGTGGCTGAATCTGTAATTTTTTTTTCTCAACGGGAAATTCATGGAAGCCATTTGGAATCTTTAGGCTAATTAGTGCCATGTGAAACTCAATGATTGCATAAAAATGGCACGGGATTTTCAAAGTTCACAGGGAGTTAATTAGTGCCATGTGAAAATCTGTAGTCACGGAAAAACACTCGCCATTCCCATTTCTTTTACATAAAATAAAATAAAGTAAACTATTGTTAAAAAAAAGCCTCCGCCGTACATCATTTGTACAGACCAGATCTCAGTGGCTGATTTTCTGCGGATAAAGGTCATGTTCGCTTGTCTTATGAGCCGTACTATTTCAACGAACGACTATCGTTTTTCTCTTACAATAAATCAGCGAATAGTATTTTCAGCCATGGTTTTTCAGCAAAGCGAACAGAACAAAAATCTCCGTACCATCTACTACCGTGTAGCCAATTTCCACACTGGTCTCAGCACCGTGCATTTGTACAAACTGATGCTGACAAGCCGTTTACCTAGGAACTGCGAGTTCGTATAGAACAGGAACATGATTATTGAGAACGGAAGCATCGGAAATCATGTTGTCCAGAAAAGCCAGACACCAACAAATTTCCCATTACAATGCCACCTAGTTGACTGCAGTGCATAGAAGCTATCATCATCATAATTGGAATCGAGGAACGTGGCCAGCACATCTGCCGATCGCATTCGGTCGCCAGTCTCGATAGCGCGCTCACACATCCTCCCCTCCCTCTGTTTGTCTCAACTTTCCTCGGCATTTCTCTGCTAAACAACTAACAACATGCCAAATATAAACGAGTTTATACATGACTATGGCCATGTTCGGCATGACTTATTGGTGTTGTAGTTGATTTATAGAGCTAATTTATTGTGAGAGAAAAATATTGTTCTCATAGTAAAAAATAGGATTGATTCTAGCTGATAAGCTCAAGCGACCAGGGCCTATATATGGAACCCCGTGGCTCGCGATCTTGCCTTAGGAAGTGTTTATCCAGTGACTAAAATTTAGGAGGTGTCACGTGAGGGTGTTGTATGGGGTGTTCGGATACTGATAAAAAAATAAATTACAGAATCCGTCGGTACTCCACGAGGCGAATTTATTAAGCCTAATTAATCTAGCATTAGCATATATTTACTGTAGCAGCGAGTTATCAAATCATGGACTAATTAGGCTTAAAAGATTCGTCTCATAAATTAGTCACAAACTGTGTAATTAATTTCGTAATTAATCTATATTTAATACTTCGTACATGTGTTCAACATCCGATGGAACATCGAATAAAGTTTACGAGGAACCCAGCACCCCTTAATCATGGGCTGTTTATTTCCGCTGACAGTGCCCATCAACTCGCGCATGAATAGTAGCGTAATGGCGCAGGCTCTGCACGGGTTTACTGGTCCCTTTGTCCCCGTCGGCGAATCATAAATCTCCCTTGGCTCACCCTGGCTGGCGTCTAGTCTAGTCTAGGAACGGAGGGCTCGTTGTCACCCTGGCATACGGGGAACCTCTTGGATTCGTGAATCGTGATCGCGCTCCTAACAGGTCTCACCTTACCCAAGTACTAGTACGTACGTACTCCGTAGCAATGCAAATAAATGACCTACAGAAGCCTTGCAAATATTTTCAAAAAAAAAAAACACGCACGTTTAAGAGAGTGCACCACTGCATAGCGATGCACTGCATTCTAATATATCTAAAGATATGATTAAGAGCGCCCAGTTATTTTGTGGCCGTTCGATCGACTGCAGACCTCCAGATAGGGACGAGCAGCATCGTTTTATTCTGAAAAACCTCTTTCGATTTTGAAATCAACCCGCGCTCCAGACGTCCTCTCAAATTTTTTTACAAAAAACGCCTCATGTTATTTCTAAATCGACGCGCAGTCCAGAACGGATGTGCACTGGTTTGTTTGCAAAAAAGACCTCCACTTTATCGAAATTCAACCCACGCTCCATAGACACTCTCATCATTTTTTGCGAAAACATCCTCTGATTTTTCTCAAATAAAAAAACAGTCCACCTTTCATTATTTCTTTTCTTTTCTCCAAAAAAATATGTGGGGCCCGTGCACCGCGCGCATGGGCGCGCCTGAAGGACTAGTTAATATATTAAGACAGTTTGGTTTGACCGCCTCTCAGGTGGCCACGTCGCCTTGAATTCTTCTGGCCGTTCGATCTTCAGTGCAACAGTCCAGATCGTTCAAAGCGGATTCTACTTTAGCCCTGCTTTGGTTTATTAGCAAATGCACTTGCAGTTCAGATGTAGCATAGCTGCATAACCAGCCTCACAGGCAAACAATTGCGGGGGAAGGGGTTAGTTTGAAGGGGGGATTCCTGCGTGCCATTAAACAAAATTGTAATACCTTGCGTCCCTGAAAAAGTTCAGTGGTCTGCAGCATCACTGCTCCAATTTTTTTCGTGCCCTCCATGCCACTTCCATCAGTTTGAGTTCTAACGCCGTCAAACTGCAGGTGTGAAAAGACAAAAATGCCCTTAAGCGTAAATATGTCTTAATTTTTTGAGCATCTTAACGACTTTAAATAAAAAAACTCAAAACTAGAAAGTTGTAGATCTCGTTGAGTTCTATAATTTTCATATAAAATTATTTTTATTCAATTTCGCAAAAAAAAAATAATATGATTTTTCTAAGATATATTAATCTTATCAAATCATTTTTTTTGTGGAATTAAATGAAAATAATTTTTATATGAAAATTATAAATCTCGACGAGATCTACAACTTTCTAATTTTGAGTTTTTTCATTTTAAGTCATTAAGATGCTAAAAAAAATTAATGACATATTTATATTTAAGGACATTTTTGTTTTTTCACACCTGCTGTTTGACAGTGTTAGAACCCAAACTGACAGGCATGAAAAAGTTAGAGCAGTGCTACTGAAAACTGCTGAACTTTTTTAGGAACACACAGAGCATTGCGATCTACACAGAGCATTGCGATCTTTTTTAATGACACACGAAACATTGTCTCTAGTTTGAACGCTTGCGGCTTGACGAATTCAAGGGCTACAGTCACATTGAGCAGTGAAACCCTGGAAAGCATAGCCAGACAGAATTCAGCACCTGACCTACACAGTAGTTACAGGTGTTTGCATACAGCAAATGCAACGCTAGAATCCAAGCACATGCGTATGAGCATTTCCAAGTTCCAGCCACAATAGCATTTCAAAGAACATGCCACTAACACAAGATGCCTTCTCAGAACCGATCAGAAGTGCACCAATCCACCATCATCATTCAAAAAAGATAAAATCAAGACACCAGCATACCGGTACTAATTGTGCTACAAGGAAAATAAGGTGGTTTCAGGGACGAACAGGCAACGTTATGAGGCAACGCGATAAACACAGCGGGTAGGGATGGTGGTGCTCAGATATCAAGAAATCCTATGCAATATAAGTTTGACAAGTATGTCATCAGATAATGTGGTGACCAAGAAACCAAAATGGGTAAACGACCTGCAACTCCATAGTCATGCTATGAGTACTGACAGGCCCAAAAATTAACATAAGGATGAACAATATCCATCAGTTCCACCTACACGTGCATTTGCATTTCAGTCTGTTCCTCATCCAGCTCAAGGAGCCTTTCCCTGTCAGGAGAGGAGCCAAAATGATCAGACAAAAATATGGATTCTAATGCTATTTTTGTGCAGGGGGGCAGCATAAGCAAGAAAAAAAACCTTTGATTTGGACTTGTTTGATTTGGAGTCAGCAGCTTGTTTGGCATCCAAACGTTGCTTGAAAGGAAGGAACTCTACTCCGCCCATATAAGGTTGCAGTGCCTTCGGCACCTCGACACCGTCCTCCTTTTGGAAATTCTCCAGAATACAGCAGAGGGTCCTCTCAGTAGCAGTCAAGGTAGAGTTCAGCATATGAACAAACTGCTTGGACTGTTCATCATTCTGTAATTTGTCAGACATCGAAAATGTTAGTTAGCAGTGGTAAGATTTTAACGTACAGAGGGAAAAGGTGCAGAGAGCAATGACACATCTACAATAATCAAAGTGGCACAGAACATTTACCTTTTTCTGGCCATACCCAATTCCAAGTCTCCTTGACTGAAAGTCAGTGCAATTTGAACAGGATACTAACTCTCGGAAGGTCTTTGATGCGGGGAACCATGCTTCCAAATCATATTTCTTAGCAGCAGCATCATTAAGAGCACCAGAGACAATGGAAACAACTTGGTATGGTAGCCCAATCTACAAGATGGACATTAAAGAAATGTTTAGAAAAGTTGGGGAGGACAACCTGGGTTATAAAGATCACAACGCACTGATTATTACCTCCTTATAGAAATCTTCTGAATTTTTAAGCATCTCTTCGTGCATCTCCCAGGAATCGTTGTCATTTGGGCTTGTAATGCAGAATTGTTCAATTTTTTCAAATTGGTGAACTCTAAAGATGCCAGCTGTGTCTCTTCCATGAGAACCAGCTTCCTTCCGGAAGCATGTAGAGTACCCAGCATATCTATACGTATGTATAATTTATTTGTGATTAAATACGATAGCGTGCGTCACTAAACGACAAAGAAACTGAAGATAAAAAATACTCACTTAATTGGAAGTTCAGCAGGGTAGATTCGATCACCTAGGTGATAAGCACATAATGGCTGCTCTGATGTAGCTATGAGATATTTGTCCTCACCATCACCTGTAACCTGACAAATGAAACTACTAGTAATGTACTTGTAATAAAATGAGATACTATTATTAGAGAACTGACAGATTTTGTAGGTGAATTCTTTCAACAGATATATAGATAGTCCATAAAATATATGCAAAATCAAAGATCAAAACTAAAACATTCATCCAAATAATCAAACTATTATTATGAGTAAAAACCATCATACCCAGAGTAATCGAAATTGAAACAGATCGGCCGAAAACAAAGAACAAGAAGTAATGTTGCTGGTGTTGACTACATGGAAAATAGTTTTTATAATAGCATGAAAAAACATTAGAACTGAAAAGATAGTTAAAAGAAGACCAAATGTATTATATATTTTCATTCGTATAGAATCTTAATTGTCATAAAAGAGGAGTGTATTATGGTAAACCGATACAGGAAGAGAATGTGTTATCTTTCGCTAAAAAATTAGGGAAGCATAATTTATGTTGTCATAAAACAATGAATGTAGAGAATATTTCATCAGCCTTACTTTGTAAAGCTCCTCATCAAACTGGGCTAACTGGGCACATTTTGCCATCGTTTCCTTCCTCATGAAAAAGGGAGTATGCATTGGCTCAAATCCCCGTTTTTCCAGAAAAGCTAGACCGAAGTTTATCAGTGCCTGGTTAAGGAGGACACCTTTGCCCTTTAAATAGAAACCCCTACCACCAGCCACATCAGCACCTGCAAAAATGTAAATAGGTAAAAGGTTGTGAGGCAAACTTGACAACCTGTTCCACAAATGTTCTTAATCACAGCAAGAAAGCAAACAAAGAGCACAAGCACATCGAAATTAGTTGAAGCAGGGTGATTGTTAGAAGTATATTGAATATATAAAATGTATACATATATGGAACTAAGCATTCCCTAGGAAAGGGTTGTTAAGTTAACGGAGGGGCAGCACACAATCACATGCAGCCATACCCCATGCAGCCATACCAGAATGCCAGCAAGGAACAAAATTAGCAAGTTAATCCAGAAAACAACTCAGAAAAAAAGAGATATAGGCAATTGGTTTGTACAGTAATGACTTTGAAACAGGCTTAAACAAGCAATACTGGCAGTAAGAAAGGACTTGTAAATAGAGAAAAGTAGAGAGCATATACCCTTCTCCAAAGCGACAATGTCAAGCATCCTGCAAAGGTCCACATGATTCTTCAAATTTTCCTCTACTCTCTTCTCTCCAAATGTCCGTACAATTTGATTGTTTGCCTGCAAGAAGTAGCTTAATCAGTTCAGCTGAAATTCATAATAATTAGGTCGAATTCAGAGGGACCACTTGCAATTTTAAGATTGGACCAGAATAGGAATGCAATATTTTTTCTGTAAGTTCATATAGAACCCTAAAGCACAATTAGAATTCCAACAATCAAAGGGTGAGGGTGAGAATTAGGGTTGGAGTTGACAGTGGAGCTAACAGTTTGGTTGCCACATTACAATCTAACAGTGACTGAAAAAATAATTTTCTTTCAGCCGTTCAGTACTGCAGTGGAAAGGAAATATCTAGAAGAACCACCAACTAAATTTCCAGATCACCTCGTCGTCGCTGACTGGCACGGACTCATGCACGATGTTGCCAATCGTCGTGACCTTGGCGTCGAGGGTGCTCTTGGCCTCCTGCACCTCAACTTCTTTGGCTGCCAACCTCTTCTTAATTTCGTCTGTGCTCTCCATGAGCTTCTTCACTTCCTCTTCTTGCTTGCTCTGCAAAGAAACACGCCACCGTCACGTAAAACCCAGAACCCCGAGAAGGAAATAGATAACGAGGGCATCGCAAATCCGCAATTTGAGACGGAACGTACCGCTTTGAGCTTGCCGATCTTCTTGCTGGTAGCGTTGAGCTCCTGCCGGATCTTGTCCAGCTCGAACTGCCCTGCAGCAGCAACGTGAACCCATGGGAGTCAGAGACCGGCCGGGGATCTAGAAGAGGTTCGAGGGGGCAGGGTAATGAGGAGAGGAGACACTTACTTTCGCGCCATGCCTTGTCGAGGGCGATGACCTCGTCGACGAGCTCGACGGAGGCGAACCGGCTGCGCTGGGACTCGCGAATGAGGTCCGGGTTGCCGCCCTTGTCGGTGCGGAACAAGTTGATGTCGAGCATCGTCGCTTGACGGCGGCGGCGGCGGCGAGGGGATGAAGTCGAGCAAGCAAATGAGCGGGCACGAGGTTAGGGTAGTCTTCCTTCGCTTGGGCTTGGCACACGATATTTGGGCCGACCAGGCCGATAAATCGCCTTTGCAGCGTTCGGCTCCTGCGTGGTGAAATTTTCGTATTTTGGTCTCTTTTCAAAACAATTTTTAGAAAAACACCAACGTCAAAATATTTTCTGAAAATAGTCTATTTTTAGGCGTTTTAGCACATGACGCCGAGATATGAGGCTCGGCGTCGTGTCACTAGACGCCGAGGTATTGCCACGTCATGGACGACCGGGGTCGTCGTCGACCACGTTAGCTGGCGCTGGGGTCCGAGGCGTCGCTGTCGTGTCACCGACGCCTAAGTACCCAACCTCGGCGCTGGTCTGATCTTGGCTTGAGCTCTGGCCCCATCCGGAGCGCGCCCCAGCGGCCCAACAAAGCACGGTATTCAAATGACTCGGCGTTAGGTCACTTAACGCCAAACCTCCAGACCTCGGCGTGACCCGACTCAACGCCGAGGTCTGCGGACCCTTTAAGCCGAGGCCCCTTCTTCTTCTTCTTCCCTCCCTTCCTTCATTCCCCCACGGCTCCCAAATCCCCCACGGCCCCCACGAAACTCTAACCTTCAAAATCGACCCCTAGTGCCCGGATCTTATCTCCCGAAGCTTTCTCGAGGTAATGGTCCCTCCCCTCCTCCATTCTATCCGCATAGATGTGCTTACATTGTCCCTAATCATGTGGAATCATGGTTGTTTGGTGATTTGGTATATTTGTGTTTGCATTTGCAAAATGCATGGCTTAGGATGATTGAGTGCATTGTTGTTTAACTATTTTATGTGATGAACATGTTAGGTTAGTTTGGTTTCTAGTTATTTTGGTCATTAGGGTTATTTGTTTATTGTAGGTGTCATTAGGGTTAGTTATTTGTTGGTCATTAGGGTTACTATGTATTTTATTTATTTGTTGGTCATTACATTTCAGTTTGTTATGACCAAGGCGTTTTGCCAAGGTACTCCTCTTTCCCCTCTTTCAATTCATCCATTTAGATTCGTTTGTTTTTGAACTTGGCATTATAGGTTTGGTTCATGTTCATGTCATTCGTGCAATGTATGGTGGTTCAAATGATTGAATGACCCAAATGTATGGTTGTTGGTGTTGTTGTTGGTGTATATGTTATGGTTTATAATCATTGAGTTAAATTTTGTGTTTGTTGGGATTCAAATTTGTTTAGGGTTTGTAATGAAAAGCTTATTTGGGAGGTATGGTGATGTAGTGTTAGTACCTTTACATTCGTTGCAAGGTACATTGGATTGATTTTTTTTCTACGTAATGTTAGATGCCAAGGCGTGGTAAAGCTTGTATTCCAAGATAATCCCAATGTTTATTCATTATCTGTGCAACAAATAGAAAACCCTAGGTTTAGGTTTGGTTCTCCGTTAATATGACTAAATTCTTTCAATTGTAGCTATGGTCGCCAGAGGGCAAATCCCTACGACCTAAAGCCTCTCCCTGAAGGTGTTCCTCGACCAATGTGCTTTTGTGGTGATCCTTGCAAGGTAGACATCTCTGAAGATAAGGAAACATATAGACAGAGGTACTGGATGTGTCCCAATTATGCATGAGAACCTACAAAGCAACAGCGCCGTGCATCGTTTGTGAGGAATTTTTATTGTGTTAATTAATTTTCTTGTGATATTAAGTATTGCTTATTTATTTGTTTTGTAATAATTTGTTTTTCTTACAGACTGTTCCACCACTTGTGTGACTTTGAGCAAATGGATTGACACTGAGATCAAGGAGTCGGACAAGACAAGCGTCTAGAAGGCCTCAAGGAGTGGGATGCGGAGGTTAAGGAGAGGTTTGAGAGAGACGCGCAGACTAGAGGCTATAGAAAAGGAGCATAAGGAAGAGGAGGAAAGGAGGCGTGTTGTTGCGTCTGAGGAGAGAGAGGGAGAAGAAGCTTGAGCGCAGCGTGAAAGCGAAGGCAGCGATGGAGAAGAATCCCGATGCCGAGAGGAAGGGAAAGTGGCCTCGTTGCACTCAGTAGGTATTTGGTTCATTCACGAGTGATGTACTGCATTTAGATGAAGTGACAAAACACAGGTGTAGCCTTTTCAGATGAAATGACCAGTCATGGTTGTAGGCTTTTCAGATGAAGCATCTAGCCTTTGCAGATTCAATAAATGAGTACGCACAAATGTTTTTTGTCAAGTAGCATTCATGGTGAACCTGCCTTCATCTCTATATATAGTGCTCCATGTCTTGCTCCACATCCACACAACTTGTTTTCTGGTTTAGTTTTAGTAAATGTCGAGCGGAGGTTCCTCGAGTGGAAAGGGTTTCGGCGGAGGGAGAGGAAAGGGGGTGAGGAAGGGGCCTCCGATTGTGTGGGAGGGTTCTCTGGGTCCTGATTCTTTTGAAGAACCAATAGAGGAATTTCCTTTGAGAGAAAGAGTGACTTCACCGTGAGAGACCTCTTAGATCATACGAGAAGCGCATTGAAGATTGGCCAAAAATGTCGCCACGGTTTGGATTGCGTTGTGCAGTGATGTACTTGCATTGTGATTTGATGGAGGCCGTCGTTTCTTCAGATGCCCATGAGGATTTGTATTGCCTTTGAACTCTCTCCTTTTTTAGATTTACATTTAATTTCTATTAGTACTTATTGGTAGATGGGTTTTTGAGATTCAAGTTTGTCCGGATAACTGTGGCTTCACTAGATGGGTCGACCCTCCTCCTATCTATCCCCATCAACAAATTACATCACATATCTCTGAGGGACGCATCTTTGACCTAGAGTATGGCCACGAAGTGGTAATGAGGACAAGTCGGACGGACGACGATGACAAAGAATGATGCGAGAGGAGGCACTATGCAATAATCCGTCTTTGTGAGTGCCTGTACCATAAGAAGGACGGACCTCCTTCTCCACCGCCACCGCCACCACCACCGCCTCCGTCAACCTGGAGGATACTATGGGAAGGCGCAACTCGATTCAATATGTGGGAGCATTATTAGGACCAACATTTGTTAGTCAATCCGAATGTGGAATGCTTGTATGAGTTGTTCTTTTCAATCTCGTAAGGCATGCTAGGTTTAGTTTGCAACATGCCCTTGTTAGTTTTTATGTGAGTGTGTACCCTTTGCAATGTCTGTATCACTTGTTTCTTTCAATCCCCTAAGGCATGCTAGGTTTAGTTTGCGACATGCCATTGTTACTTTTGATGTGAGTGTAATCGTTGTGCCTCCGCTATTTCATAGATTGCGTTTACCTACCTCTAAGTTTCATGTACTATGGTTGATTCCTAAACCTGAAAAAAAAGATTTGAGTCTCTCTAAAAATAGGGGATTGAAATCGAACCAACAATCGGTTTTTCCTGCAGGAACAAACATACAAACATAAATATAACTTGTCTACTCTTATTAGTATAACTCGTGTTAGTCGAAGAGGAATCGTTGAGAAAGATTTTTCATTTGAATCATGCAAATAGGATCGCAACATATACCAAATGTTTTGGGTTTTGTTGAAATTTGAGGCTCTCGGCGTTGAGTCGGCCCACGCCGACCCTAGGGTTTGGCTCGGCCGTGGGTGAGGTGTGTCTTGAGGCTCGGCGTTGAGTCATCCACGCCGACCCTAGGGTTTGGCTCGGCCGTTCTGAGTTGGGTTGAGGCTCGGCGTCGAGTCGGCCCACGCCAACCCTAGGGTTTGGCATGGCCGTGGCTCCGATTTTGGGCGAACCTCGGCTGCTTAGTCGTAACACGCCGAGTTTCATGGCTCGGCGTCAATTTACCCCACGCCGAGCTTGGGCACCTCGGCGCTTCGATGCAAGGGTTTCAGATGTACTGTGGGTCGGCGTGAAATGACTAAACGCCGAGGTTGGGCACCTCTGGCGCCGGTGAATTGTTTTCCAAGAGTATGTGGGTCGGGTGGCGTCAAATGACTAAACGCCGAGCCCCCAGGTTCACTAAAATATACCATCTCTTCTTTGATTTGCTTCACTATTTCCCACTACTCTAATCACCGACGATGACCTTGTGCCAACAACGGACTGAGCTCGCTAGCTCCCCGACTCTCCTAAGCCGCCCGTCCCCTTTGCGTGCTTGCCATGTCACCGTGGATCCAACAGAGGTTGATCGTAACATGGAGGATGGGGATGATGACACCTCTTCTTCCTTGTGAGTTGCGACGGAGGCCCTTAATAATTTGGAAAAATGAAACATGGCGACGTTCCACACATTCACATAACACATGACCACACCGCAGACACATTCATTCAACATCCGTACATACATAGGTCCAACACATTAAGCATCCAACATAGTCCAACACATTCAACATCCAACATAGTCCATACATATGCTTCATCAATCAACAAACATAGTCCAAACATAGTACAAGGTCCAATGCATACATAGTCCATGCACAAAAAAAAGCATATGAAGTCTTTGGATCTTTTATCGCTCCTTGTACCTTAACGTGGACGGCGAGCGTAACGCTTTCCCCTCCCAAACGGATAGGTACCTGGAGTGTACTTGTCCACTGGTCTGAGCGTCCTATGTGGACGTCCAGAACCGGAGGGGCCTTGAGTTCCTTGGGGTGCATCTCCAAGCTGGGACATGCCAATCTCATCATACTCATGATCATAGTACTCTCCCTGTCCTTCATCATCTTCATCATCATAATGACCATGTCCTTGACCACCCTCTGCAGTAGTTGCTGCACCATGTGAAGAAGTCCTGCCACCATATGCACCATGTGAAGATGAAGTCCCTCCAACATGTGCAGTAGAAGGTCCAGCACCAAGCTATTGTGGGACTGCCACATCCGAGGAACGTCTACATCCAAGGCGTGCAGCTACCTTTCGTAGGCGATGCATGGCACGCTGCATTTTGAAAGCACTATTAGTAAGTGGGGTTGGTCGCAAAACTATATAAAGATGTAACATCAACTGAATGAGAGGAGACT